TTATGTTCGATGATTTCATGTCCGATATCTCGAGAGCCGTTATATGTGCGATTCGTATTGTCGTATTAACCGGGCGTTAATAACTCTCATCGTTTATATATCGAACATCATTAGATGTTATGAAATCCTCAGTATGCTCGTTCGTTGCTGATGTATAAGTGATAATACTTACTGCCGAGACGTTATATGAACCGCGGTTGAGATTCGAACATCTATTATATATGTGATTGTCATTTTATGTGAAATCATATTTTACACTGTTCTGTTGTGCTGCGATTTAAGCCATCAGATACTGGTTGTTTGAAGTTGTGACCTTCATGAGAAATGTAGTATGTTCAGTTTTCTATATCTGGGATTTGGAATTTCTCGATTCCGAGCTATATCGATAAAATTATGATTTTTGCAAGATTTTTGTGTGTCCAGTTTTTCCTGTTACCCGGCAGCACAAATATATTTAATTTGTGACCTGCTTTTCATGTCGTAATGTGCTCGTATGAATTTATGCTATTCATTAAAGTTATAGATATGTTTCTTACCTTTCAAATGAGACAAAATTCATGTTGATATGTGCTCGGTAGCTCGAGTTATGTCCTTATGAAGTTAGACATGCACGAGTTGGGACTTATCACTTTGGCAGAAATCTGAAATTTAATGTTAACCGATTTTTCACTATCCAAATGATCTTATATGCTTCTGTGTTCTAGATGAAAGTTGTAGAGGCATGCTTAATGTTTAATTTGAGACTTGAACCATGTGATTTTGAGGTCTATAACTCAAGATAAGTTATAAAATCTGAGGTGCTGCCCACACATATTCGTTTTTGACAGTTTTGCTGAATCACATGTTTTGTGTTTAAACTCGTCAATAATGTGATTATTTGCCAATGTGGTCTTCAGAAAAGTTGTAAAAACTTGAGTTATCTATCATGTCGTTTTTGAGCTTCATTAATAGCATGTCTGTAGCTCCAGTTATCTAGCAATTACTGAAGTCTGGTCAAGTTCATTTTCCCAGTTTTGGACTGTGACCCTATTTTTAATGGTTGCTGATTTATCACTTGCTAAATGGCCTTATTTACTTTCAGTGTTTTCATAATAGTTGTAGCTTCATGTCTTAGGATTCCAATGCAACTTGATTCATATTCATATGAGTTGTGTGCTGAAAGTTATGTCGGTTTTAAAAACGCTGCCCGAGTTAAGTTTTCAAAAACTTGTGTGATATTTTTGGAAATGTGTCTTCACCGATTTAATGCATGCTTAAATGCTTACGTGAACTTAGTTGGACTAAGTAATTATCGAATAGTCTTTGATAAGGCTATTTTAATAAATGTAGGTGTTTGACGAGTCGAGCTCGCCGCCTAGCCTTATTTTGTATTTATCTCAATTGCTACCAGGTGGGTTCATTTATGTTGAATCTACATTTATCGCACTTGTTATTTCGTATAAATGTTTGTCGCAATAGCTTCTGTATGCGTGAGAACCCTAGTCTAAGTGTCCTGATGGTAGTGCCTTTGACGAATGCATAGTCAGTGGAAGTCACCTGCCCGTTGCATCCGGGCGGTAGGCACCCGAATCCCTGTAGAACGGAGGGGATTGTCTGAACGCCCGAATTCGTGTAGAGCGGAGGGGTATTTCAACTTCACTGTCTCCTGGATAAGATCCTATGCCCGTTGCATCTGGGATGGGAGTGTTTCCAGTTACATCATTGTCGATGTCTGGTCGGAAGGTTTGTTGTATGTACGTAGAAGGTTTGCGATAGGGCCTAATAGGGAGTTAGATCTGAATTCTATGCATACATTATTTATGGTTATGAATCTTTATGCAAAATATACTGTGCGGTAATGGTGAGTATGATGGTTGTACTAACCCCCCATTTACTTTTCTGTCCTCTTGTTCCTCTTGCTATCTTTTTAGGTTGAGCATTGGTTGGCGGGGTAACGAGAGACGATCGAGTGGTGGTCGTTGGAATTGTGTGTTACTGGCTTCCGCTTTTTATTATCTCGATAGACCATTTGTTTAACTTGGAATAATTACGCTTCCGCCTTAGTTATTTTGAACATATTGGTTAGACCATTGAATTTCTGTTGAAGTATTTGATTATGCATGAATGGTTTGAGACTTATGAATATTTTGGATTTTCTCTGGAACTGTTAGTTTTATACATGTGTAGATCTTTCTTAGTTGTTTAAATTGTTTAATTATTTTTGGTAGTTAAGTAGCGCTCGTTGAATATTAAAGTTTTAAATTGAGATTTTGCGAAAAATTAACTCTGACTTTTATAATAAAATTCGGTAAATTCTTTAAAATAAAACGGGGCATTACAGAATGGATGTAGCAGGGTGCATTGGGCAGAATGGGGGACTCTAGCAAAACCAAAATGGTGTGGGGGGTTAGGATTCAGGGATTTTAAAATTCTTAACCAATTCTTTTTGGCTAAGCAGTTGTGAAGGGCTTTAACTAACCCAAATCTGCTTATGAGCCAAGTGGTGAGTTTCATAATCAAAACCTTTTTAGTGTTAGAAAAAAGTGTGGGGACTCATGGCTGTGGGGTTGCTGGTTGGGGGCTAGGGGTGATCCGAGTGTGGGGGTTGGGTTTAGAATAGGAGATGGTAAGAATATCAGCATTTGGGACTCCCCCTGGATTCCAAATGTTAAGGGGAAAAAACCTGGTTGCCAGTTTCAGAGGGATAGATCTCATTTGGTGAGGGTCAGTGATTTGTTGAGCAGAACTGGGAGGGGGTGGGATGAGTACCTAATTTATCAGTCACTTAATCCTTTCATGGAAGGTAAAATTCTTTCAATACCCATACTGAACAGAGGACAGAGTGATAAGCTGGTGTGGCAAGGGACTAAGACTGGGGTTTTCACTGTCAAATCCTGTTATGAAATGCTACTACAAGCATAGTGGTTAACTCTAGATAAGACTGAGTCAAGCAACATGCAAATTCAAGATAAAAGAATGTGGTGTAGAACTTGGAAGTTGCCAATTCAGAACAAAATCAAAAACATTATATGGAGATTATGGCATGGATTCCTGTGGACTAACTGCCAACTGAGAAGAAGAAAAGTGGAGGTGGATGTGACTTGTACAGGATGTGGGGCAGCCCAGGAAGATGTGAACCATATGCTGTTTAGGTGGAAAAGAGCAAGAACCTACTAGAAATTGTTGGGGGTAAGTTGGCAAAAACTGGATTCTGGTGTGTCCACTTTCCAGGATTGGTGGGTTGAGGTGATAAACTCCATGGACTTCATAGCTATCAAGGATAGGATAAGCTTATCCACTTACCTACTTTGGTGGTTATGGAGAACTAGAAATTGTTGGGTGTTTGAAATGAAGAGAATTTCTGAGGTGGAAGTGTTGAGAGGGCTAGGAAAGGTTGGATGGCATACTTAACTGTAGTAGGTTGTGATGAGGGGAGTTTGGGTGGGATGCAGACTAATGGTGTAGTTTCAGTTGAGCAATTTCCAGTAAGGTAGGGCAGGTTAAGGTGGCTGTCAGTGCTTCAAGCTCAGTTGGGGAATATATGGAAGTTGTTGGAACTGCTGTTAAGGGTGGCAAAGTCATCAAGTCATGGACAGGGATATTATCTCCTCACAACAACAGGGAGATCATGGATTTAAGGAGAACTAAATGGCTGCTTTAGACCGACATTGAAGAGTGTTGGGAAGAAGTTTGCTGTGAAGTGGAGCTGCAGACCACAAGATTAAATCTGGACAGAAGGATCATATGGATGATTGAAGATGAGAACATGCTGAGGAGCTCTTGGACCTGGTGATTGCTATCCTTTGCTGCTCGTTTGTTGTAATTAACTCGGATGGGATGTAATGTTGTTTGTATGTGGATTTACCACTCGAGGGTGAAACTTGGTTTTACCCGTGTGTTCTAATCTTGATACTGTTAGTTGATTAGATCATGTTGTAATCATTTGATTATGCATGTATGAACTGTGATTTGAGTTATCTATATTAATTGTCGTTTGAAAAAAAAATGTTGACAAATTTTCTTTTCAGCTATTTTTAATAAATACTAATATATTTTTGTTTATATATAATATATATGTATATAGATAGATAGATAGATATAGATGTAGTCATGTAGATTAGCAAAAATAAGTTGAATGGTTTATTTTTAGATTTTATTAATAATGCAATTTTCCCAACTATGCGTCTATGTCTATGTCTTGTAGAACACGGGGTAAATAATTATCTGTTTTGCACATCCGTTTCCGATACAAATTCCAACTCCAAGTCCAAGTCCAAGTCCAACATATATATATACTAGTTGGGATACGCCGTGCACGCACGGCGGACTTAAATTCGGTCTAAAAATACACTGAAAATTCTCAAATTTAGTTTAAAATCCTCGTGTGGATGGCTGCAGCACGCCAAGCCTTCTCAAAGGTGTTGGTCGTCATTTGTGCCTCCGGGACTACTCTCAAACTGCCCCGGGCTGAATCAAAAGCTCCATTAAGGTGCTCGGATTTCGATCCAACCTTTTCAATACCTACACAATTTGGACGAAGAGTCTGTTAAAATCAATTTTTTTAAGTTATATCAAAATTCATATACCTCTATTTATAAAAATCTTTCAAGCTTTGGTGAAGATAATTGATTGACAAATCTAGTCGCAAGTTTAGATTCAAATGTATGTAATGGTAATTGGACAAATCTAGTCTATCTATCTAATGCCCAAAATGGTTATACAAAGATTGAAGTCTGCCTACACAGCTGCCACAAGGTAGTTGCAAAGCAAAAAAAAAAATAAAAAAATCAATTTTACCATCATTTTGTTAATCAGAATTGTATATTACAATAGTTGGCATGGCAATTAATAATTGCTTAAAAATAAAGGCAATAAAAGTACTGTTAGGTCCAAATTGAGTAGAATCTAATTCTGATTATCATTAGCAGCATTACCACCGTTCAAATTTTACCGAATAAATACATTTACCTTGAGTTAACTTAAACACACCTAATTTTCAAGAAAAAAACTCAATACATAACCTGATCCCTAGTTTTCTTATGTTGTTGCTCCATAGTGGAAGCCATGGCAGGAATCTCTCCCTCCAATATGTTGATATTTACTAAAAGGCTCACAGATCTTACAAATTATCAGATGAATCATGTTCGTGATATATGGATGGGATATGCTGGCATACAATAGAACTCCCATGTATTATTGCTCATTTATGGACTATTTCATGTGTTGGTGGTCGTATAAGGTGTTATGAATAACTTACATGTTCTGAATGAACTTACAATATTATGTGCCGAACCTCACTCTTCACATCTACATCTAGATTCGCTGCAAAAGAGTAAATGGAATAAAAAAAAAAAAAAAACCAAGAATATTACAATTAGATTTATAGTTTGAAGCTAAAAGCGTGGAACTGTTGCAAATACAATAAAAGATGATGAAGAAAGAAAAACATATAGGTTAAATCTTGTAATAAGGTATAAAAGGTGGTTAAGAGTAAAAATGCATCTCATCCTCATGAAATAGAACAGAAAAAATAAGAAAAATGAGGCAGACCCTACCAACTTTGAACCTAAAGATAAATCACAACCTTTTATGACAAGAACTCAAAAAAAGAATGTCTTATGTGAAGTGATATACAACTCCCAAAATGATCCAAACTAAATTAATTCAACAAGCATAACACTGCCAATCAGAATTTCACATATTCAACCATAATGCACATAAGTATTCATCACAAAACCATAAAAATTGGTAACAAACTCAATGAACAATAAGCAAGGATGAAGTGATATATCTCTTCAACGGCTAATATTCGGGATAGTATCGCCCAAACGTTAAGTCATATATCACATTCAATATTCAACTGTTAAGTCAAAACAACACTTCCAAACATGTACTAATCTTTCAAACAATATGCTACAACTTACTACAACTGGGCATGTATGGGCATATAGCACTGGAGAGAAACATCTAAATAGTTACATGTTATGAGGGGAAAACTCTGACATTATGGGGCATTAAAAAGAACTGAAAACTATGGGGCATTAAAAAGAACTGAAAGCTTTTTAAATAAAAATCTTAGAACTGGCATCTTACTGAAAATTCTTATTATGATGAGCTTGAAAACTTTCCAGATTCTCCACATTTACATAAACAAGCAAAATCATAGTGTAACTAAAGGCTTAAAATCATCATATTATATATCCACAAAGGTTAACTCACGTGAGCATATATTTGTGTTGAATAGTCAAAATGTCATTTATAGCAATATAGAAACAATATAAACTAAATATCAAAAATCACAGGAATATATATATATATATATATATATATATATATATATATATATAAATACTGTATCAACTGCATATATCATCTGCCGTTGCCAGAATGTCGTTTGTCTCGTGAGTCTGAATCTTTCGCAATCTTTGTAAATTTTTCATGCACGAATCAAGTGTAAAACATCAGCCTAATTTCATTTCAGATATATAACTAAAGAGAACTTAACAAATCATGTCACTTTAAATGATACCAGCCATATACTCTACTGTTTGTGTCTCATTTTCCCAAGATTCTCTCCAACAAGTAATATTACGTTGCAAAGAATGTGAAAAGGGTGTATTTTTGCAATATCCCAAATTCATTTCCACTTTCTCATTTCTGCGAAGTGAAATTTCATTGCAATATAGAATGTCACAACCTCAAGATAATCATCCATAGGCAAGGATTATCTGGCAACATATGATCAGCTCACTTTACCAACCCATTAACCAACTTAATTTCAGAATGAATTAGAATTTAGCAGTGTTTAATACTATTCATAACCTAATTTTTTTTATCAAAAAAACCCGCATCAATTGATTGTCGATTCAGATTTCTTTAGAAAAAATGATAATACAGCATGGACAAACATTTATAGAAGTTACATAATGTCTAGCAACATTAATTACCTGCAATAGGCGCTGCAGGTCAAGGTGTATTTTTGGGAATTTTCTATCGTTTAACAATTGCTTCTTCAAATCAAAACCATCAACTGACAGATGAAACCCACATGCATTGTGGCATTGTGGAGCTGGCAGATCAATTGGGGCGACAAGCTAGGGTAATTGGGTATATGAACATCAACTTCTTTGTAAGTAGTGGCGGCAACCTACACAAATTTCTAGCTAAGATCTGATCAGTGGCCTACACAAGTACATCCGAAACATTTGTGAGAAGAGAAGATCACAATGAAATAACTGAATTAAAAACCTGCTCACTGTGACCTTGAGGGAAGTAAACCACACGACTCCCGACTATCAGAAGTGACACCAAATGGGTTCAGAATTCAAGCCCTTCTTGTCCCCTTCCATATCCAACAAAGCATGCCATATTTCAGAATTCAAGCCCTTCTTGTCTCCTTCCATATCCAACAAAGAAATCCACCAACCAAAATACATAGTGTCTAATGAGGTCGAGAAAAATTAAGTCTTTTGAAGATCGGCCCTACCGCTGATAATAAATTTTCCAATAAAAAGGACAAAAACATTATCCAACAGCAAAGATTTAAATGAAAATGACGTGCTGAGAGATAATTCATCAAAATAAAGGTGAAAAAATATCCATAATAAAGAAAGAGATAATAAAGTTGAAGCCACAAAAGGATAAAGAGTCGTGTGTAGAAAAAAAAAATGAGACACGACAGTTACCTTCATGAGCTTGCTGACCCATCCCTGATGTTGAAAGCTTCATAATTTATCCACATTACCCTCGGACAACACAAATATTTAATGATCTATCATATGATACAACTACAATATTTTTGTACAGAGTACCAATTAAAACGCCCCAACTCAAACAAAACCCTCGCTCTCAACCCCTAAAAACCGCACACAGAGTTTCACAGGCACACCCCCAATAAAAATGCCAAAAAAACATAATTAAAGGACAAATAAGAAGAGATATTAAACTTACATCTAAAGTCCTTCCTCAATGGGTTCAAAAGTATTTATTGTGCTCAAGGAACTGATGGTCGAGTCCTGATGAAGCCGAGGGATAATTATCTGTTTTAAAATGAAACCCTTAGAATATTTTTCATTGTACAGAAAGGGATAAATGAGAAATATGGGTGGTGGGATGGAAAAACTACCTTTATGATTTCGGCAATAACCACAATCTTGCTCACCTGACTCATTGCTTTTAAGACAAACTTTGTTACTTCTCGTTCCTGGTAAAAAGATAAGTAGATATTGCATACTATCTCTTTAGATCAAGATGAAAAAACAAAATCTATCAAATTTACCAACATAAGCAGTTCTCCTCACAAACCAGAAAGCAAATTTCCTTAGCATCTGAGTCTCATACTATGAATGAATAATAAAAATGTCAGTAATGAATAATAAAGATGTAAAAACGCTAAGCAGCCATCCACCAACAACATAAGCAGTTCTCCTCACAAACCCAAAAACAAATTTCCTTAGCATCTAAATGTCGTATTATGAACTTCATTCACTTAAAAGAATAAGAAAGTGGGATCCCAGGAATAAGGAAGTGGGAAAGAAAAATGTGATTTCATCAAAAGTGCAAAAAAATTAATCACCAATAGTCATGTATAAAAACATGGTGTGAAAATGAATATAAGAACCAATAGTTAATCACACATTTCCTTACTCAATTTATCGCACTTTCTTATGCTGAGTCGGGATTATTCATTGCCCTCTGTGTAGCATATTCACACTTTAAAGAATATAATTAGGGGGATTTTCAAAGAGTGGCAAATCAACCATTACCATATGGTCCTGACCTAGATAATCCTAATATGGTTGTTAAAAATGGACAGAATCTATCACCTTCAACAAGAATTAGAAAGTGAGGAAAAAAATTTCCTACAGAAATTTTTCTTCTTAAAAGAATCGATTGTGTTTTTTACCGTGATCCTTGCACCCGCGTACTACCCGCCTCTCTGGGGAGAGAGGAGCGATTGAACGGGTATAAACATTTTCGTCAGCAGCTGAATTCATGGAGATCAAATCACCGATCGAATGGCGCCCCAAATTTCCCGATCATTTAGACGGCCCAGAAGGAAAAAACGTGTGGTGTGTAGCGTGTGGCAGGCACCCCATACTACTGGCGAATTTAAATGACATGTCTAACCCAAAAAAGCAGAAAAATCAGTCAATTCGCATAAAATGTAAAAAAAAAAAAAAATAAACATACAAAAACGGTGTCGTTTTTTGTTAACTGCATGGCAAACTTGTAATAAAAAGTGGACACTTGTCACTTTCTAACCATGGCAAAATGGGACACTTGTCATCATTTAAAGTGTGCACACTTCTTCATATATAGATAAGAGAGATATACTACATCCGACCTACATATCCCTTCCCCAAACTCTCCTAACGATTACAGTTTCGAAAAAACCCTAATTTCTTCCACCATGGCTCGTAACGAAGAGAAATCGCAGTCGATGCTGAACCGCTTCAACGCCATGAAAGAGGAGGAGAAGAAGAAACCCAAGGAGCGCCGCCCCTACCTCGCGTCCGAGTGCCGCGACCTGGCTGAGGCGGACAAGTGGCGCCAGCAGATCATGCGTGAAATCGGCCGTAAAGTCGCCGAAATTCAGAACGCCGGCCTCGGAGAACATCGTCTCAGGGACTTGAATGACGAGATCAACAAGCTCATTCGAGAGAAGTCACACTGGGAACGGCGTATTGTGGAGCTGGGGGGACCCAATTACACGAGGCATTCTGCAAAGATGACTGATTTGGATGGTAACATTGTGGATGTGCCCAATCCAAGCGGGAGGGGGCCGGGGTATAGGTACTTTGGCGCGGCTAAGCAGTTGCCTGGTGTCAAGGAATTGTTCGAGAAGCCTCCCGAGTTAAGGAAGAGGCGAACAAGGTACTTTTTTTCTCCATCTAAGACAAGGGTTTCAATTAATGTGGAAAGAAAAGCGTTTTTTGGTTTTTTGTTGAAGCAGTGGCTAAAAAATTGAAGTTTCTGGTGATTTTATTAATTCTGTTGTTCCAAGTATGCACACAAATTATTGTCCTGAGTTTGTTATATGATCTTTATTTAATTAGGGACATGTTCAATCTCTTTGTTGGTTGAGATAATAGCCTCTTGTTCACTAGCCATCTAGGATACTTCCAATCACGTTCTCTTAATAAGCATGAGTAGAAGTCGAAAAACCACGAAACTTTTTAAAAGAGAATATGAAAGAAGGGCCAATGAATCTTGGTGTTCTTGACTATGTTTGCATCTCGTCCTAACGTGGCTATATGGAATCCTTTTGCAGGTATGATATATACAAACGGATTGATGCAAGTTACTATGGGTATAGAGATGATGAGGATGGGATTTTAGAGAAACTAGAAGATCCGGCTGAGAATAAAATGAGGGCTGCAGCTTTGGCGGATTGGATGGAGATGGAGAAGATAAAGAAAGAAGCAAGGAGGGCCGTGAAGAGTGGTGAGGTGGCAGAGGTGGGTGCAGTATCTAAGATCTTGTTTGAGGAGGAAGAGGATGTAGTGGAGGAAGAGAGGAGAATAGAGAGGGAGAAAGAGGAGAATGAGAAGGGGAAAGAATTTGTTGCGCATGTCCCGTTGCCAGATGAGGAGGAGATAAAGAAGAAGGTACTGGAGAAGAAGAAGCAGGAAATGCTGAACAAGTACACAAGCAGTGAGTTGCTGGAGGAGCTTATGCAAGCAAAGACCTTGCTTAATATCCAGCAGTAGGTGGTACGTTTACCTTCAGTGTTCTATATTGTGTTCAATGACCACTTTGTTATTGTTAGAATCGGAGAAAAGCATGTTTGATGAAACGTTTTATGTGGTTCTGTTTAAACTGTTGTCAAAACATGGGCTTACACCATTTACTTAGTTTCTTTCAATTTTATTGTGAAGTAGTTCATGGAAATGTGAGGATTGTTTTGAGTTTCTTATGTATTTATCTATTTTATTGCTCTGTTTTCCCTTTTTTTTTTTTGGTTTATGTTCAAATCTTTTTGTATGTCCCCTGACATTTTTTTTATTGAAAGTATATCCCACACAAGGATAAGTGCATCAGAAATTATTGTTGAAAATATGCATGTAATAAAATAATTTACCTCTGTATGCTTTAGAGACGGAACTAGAAAACAGATGGACTGATGGAGGAAGGTGGCGACTTTGTTTGGTTGTTTCACAATCTAACACCACATGGTTGAATAGATTCTTGCAATCTTGATTTACACCATTGAGTAATTACTTTTTTGTTGGACAGTGAATAGTCACAAGAATGAGATTCTTCAACATTGTTAAAAGTGTATTTTTTCATCATGATGCCTTTTCTCCTTCGTTTTCTGAATTACAATGTGCATTTAGGACCTAAAATAATTTTTCTAGCAACGCAATATTCTTTATGGAAGAAGGATACCTCTCAAATATGTGTTTTGAGTGTCTTTCATTTGTTTACAGGCATAGCGGCATTGTTTTGGTATCTGTAGTTATCGAAGTTTTTATTCATGATTAGCCTATCATCGTTGGACAAAAATTGGTTCAAAAATCTATAGATGTTTATGGGAGGAATTGAACTTTGAACTAAATGATTCAAATCCATTAAATTTGTCATAAAGCTACACATTATAAATCTTTCCATTCTGAACAACTTTTCGAGTCAAATAGGTGAATTTTTGAATCCATCATATATGGAGTCCTTAGAAATGCTTCCTACAGTTCTCTCCCCAAATCTGAATCTTTTCTTCAAATCCAACCTAAAGAATTTTTGGTTTACATTAAACACGTATACCATGATATATGGCAACGAGAAGTACTAAGTTTTTTTCTGTTGTCTTGTGTAAATTTTGTGATATCCAGACTCATTACCATTTTATTTTAAACTTCTAGAGGAAATCAATTGTCAAGTTCTGTACATTCCAAATGTTCATCATTTATGCAAATCCCTTTCAGGATGCGTGATTGTGACTTCCCTGATGACATGGCTCAAGGTGCTAACACTGGCCAAAGAACACTCTTAATGCATTCATGGCGGATGATCTATTAATGCATTATTTTGGAGATGAAGCAAATATTGTTCTTGTTTCATGAACTATTGATAGACTACCATCCTGTCACTTGTAGGGTGGAACAGTGGTTGTACCCTTTTGTGGATTTGAATTTTGTGTATAGATGTTAAAAGAAATTATTGACCATGATTTATGGATGCGGCCAAATTTGGTTTGTTGGACATGAATGATATTCATTTATGCTATAAGAGTACAATCCAAGCTCGACATCTTCTCAACATAATATTTAAGATTACAAAAGTGACATCTTGTATATTGTATGGTCAGTAATGCTAAGGAGCCAACTGTTGGTTTCGTTATGGAGCCAACAACCAATGAGACAGCTCCATGTGGGGCTGTCCCACATGGCTCCAATGTGGGACAGCCCCACATGGAGCTATCTCATTGGCTGTTGGCTCCATAACGGGGCCAACAGTTGGCTTCTTAACATTATTGATTGTATGGTATCTCTTTATGTGCCTTGTAAATCTCATATGAATGAACTCAAGTTTTTCTTGTTTCTATAACTATATATAAAAGGTTTGAATTTGTAAAACATATGTTTGGTAAGCCAAATAAGCTATAAGATATAAGATAGCTTATTTGGCTAGCTGAAATAAAAAATTTTTAGCTAATTTTTTATTTCAGCTGATAAGCCAAATAAGCTATAAGATAGCTTATCAGCTAATTTTTTATTTCAGCTAGCTTATCAATTAATTTGACTAAATACTTTTATCATATAAGTTAGATTTCAGCTATAATTCTAAGCTATAAGCTCAAAAATTACATATGCTTTATAAACTAGCTTATTAGCTAGTTTTACCAAACATATCCATAAATCATGAAGAACACTCGCTTATCCTAGAGATCATTAGAGAAGTTAGGTTCATAGAGATGGTAAACCGAGGGGCACATGCACCAGATCAAATCATTAGAGAAGTTAGGTTCATAAAGATGGTAAACCGAGGGGCACATGCACCAGATCACAATTACCATTGATCAGTAGATGATCTTTTAAGTTCCACACAAAAAGAAATAATAAAAAANGACCCACCCATTGGGTCACGGGAATAAGAAAAAAAAAAAATAAAAAAAAAAAATAAATAAGAAAAAAATCTTACATTTGGCCCGTACTTGTTCACTACGTACTTCTTCACTACAGCAATAGCTTCAAAGATATGAGCGAGATAGGTGCCCCCAAGTTATATGTGGCGATTCAGGTGTGATACAATACAGTTTCAAGTCGATCCTCAATTTAGTGAGGAATCAGAAATATTTAGTAAATTGCTGTGTCTACTCAAGTTTTTTGTATTCTCAACCAAGATGGATTATGTAATGAGCATAACGAACAAAGTATTCTACAATACAGAGTAGACACAGAACAACTGCGTATGCCTAAACTACTGGTCTTTCTTTTTCAGTTTTCCTTTAACCCCTTTAGTATGAATGAATTTTCTGATGAAATTGCAGAAAATGCACTTGAAATTCGGAGGTAGATCCTGATAATCTTAAAAGTTCGTGAACAGGTTCACGCCCAAGCACTATAACAAGAAACAATGAACTTTTGAGGAGAAACAATTCAACTCCAAAATTAGGTAAACTGGCTTTAGCCAAAATATACATTATTATGATTTTACATCTCATCATCATCAGTACCCTAAAAATACGGATGAGCAGAAAATGGGGGCTCAAAGGGAGTAAAAATCTCCAAATCAACGATTGGAATTGATAATAACAAGTTTCAGGATTTATCGTCTTGTCTCTCCAAAATGAAGACATTTCCTTTGTCGTCTCTGCCAATTCTCAAAGAATCATCAACATATCTGTGATCACAAAAATGAAGGGTAGCGATCAAATAATTAGTTCCAGATAAGATCATTGGCACGAAGTCCACAGAAAATGTAAAAATCTTAATAAAATAAAAAGGTAACGTACGTGGTCTCGAGCCAGCCCTCTGGACTGAATATTCCCAAAAGAAGGTCGTAGTTTTTGCAGAAAACGTTCATCAGCTATTTCCATCAACAAACATCAAAGTGGAGAGCATGCAAAAATAAAAAAATAAAAATAAATAAATAAGGAGTTATCAAGTTCCATCGTGTGTATTTTTACTATTTTATTTCTTAAACACATACCTGATCAGGAGTTATCATTGACTTGTCGTAACTGATATCAACTCTCTACACAAAGTTTAAAACACCAAAAAAGAGAAAAAAATATCATTCCGTGTGAATATGTTTGTTCCTCATCATAATCTTAACAGCATATAGACTACAAACACTCACTGATTTGGAGACGACTTTAAATGAAGCTTCAATTGTCAACTGTCCAGACAACAGATTCAGTCCTCTGGCACTGAACTTGACCATGTTAACTGCTTTGCCCTCCATTTGACATCAAATAATATATTGAATGTTAGTGAATGAAAGAATCATACCTAGAGTGTAATTGCACACATGAAGCTTAATTAATATTCCCTACATCCAGCATTGTAGGCAATGTTACTATTTCGGGTCGAGTTTTGTGTTTGGCCTGAATTCAATTTATATGGTTATCAATTAAATAAAGTAATAAACATGTAATGCTTATTAATTATACTTTACTTTCCCAAGAAATAATGATCGTGTCCTCTTTTAAATGAGTGAAAAAGCCTATAACACAAAGCTGAGTAATTTCTAATCTTGGGTGCTGCAGGGTCATAAATTCTGTAGCTTCATCTACATCCATGGCTAAAACTTGAGCTTCCTCTTTCCATCTTTCAGAATTAGAAAGAAATAGGTTTTGGATTTATCATATATGTGCTTTTGCTATCTTTATGAGAACAGAAAGGGAACTATTTTGAAAGAAAAATGGAAAAAGAAAGAAATATCCTCTCTAACTAGTATCAAATGCTTGATCCGTAAAAAGGAAAAACATCTTTAATGCAGCACTCAAAAGAAAAGAAAAAAAAAATGTACTTCACAAATCAACGATACAGTGTGAAATGCCTGCCAGCAGCAATGATATGAACTTACCTCAGCAACATTAATAATCTGGAAAATATCCTCCAAGGTAATAAAATCCCTAAGTCCTAATTTAGTCCTTTTAGATCCCAAAACTGTAATGGTGCTATAAATCAGCTTCCAAGCTCCACCAACCTAAGACATTAACAAATATTAGTCAAAAACCAAATATTGATCATGAATACCCAAAAATTTTGGTCATGAATACCCAAACACACACACACACACAAAGAAAATAGAACGCACCTTTTCTAAAGACTGAGTAGGTTCAGGAGTGGGATTTTGAGACTCCAAAAGCTGGACCGCCTTTTCAATTTCAGATTTCTTTGCAGATGGGACTCCAAATATGCCACTGTTCGTAATACCTGTTTAAGGCATTTTTTTTTAACTAAAAATTAAAAATAAAAACGACCCAAGAAAAAAAAATATATATATATATCTTTACAAGGCAGGAAAGCAGATTATTGTATAATTACCTTGTAGGACACCAAAAAGATGATGTTTGATTTGGGGAAGAGTCCAGCTTTCGGTAGATTCTTCTTCTGTTATTACCTCAGAGCTGTTTTGCGCGGCGGGTTTGAAAGAAGGAAATGAAAAAGAAGGGGAACAAAATTCTAATTTGATGATATTAATGGAGTTGAATGGAGTGTCGAGTTTCATCATCTTCTTACTGCTGGTAACGGGTCTCGGAAGGAACACGTGGGAAGTTGGGATTGGTGATTGGATCAACTTTGTGGCCATTTGTGAAACCTCTCGTCTATGGCTGGGCTTCAAACTCCATACTTGTTCTTTTCGAACAAGTTTTACTTGTAATAAATCAATTATTTAGTTGATCAGTTTTTTATGATTTGGCAGAGCTGGCATGTATCATTACCACAAGATACATGGAAAAGGTTTTTGTAGCTCACCACGAAGGTAAGATGCTTTACTTATAATTGATAGGCTTGGGTTCAAGTCACAAAGAAAAGGAAGTGAAACACTAATGATCCTCATTTTTTGAAAGAAAAAACAAAATAAAAAAATAAAAAAAGTTTTTGGGGCTTT